TTGCCGCAAAAACTAATCCGGGCCGTTCGATCAGGTGGCCCCGTTTATACGTATAAAAACAGCTGGTTGCAGGGAGCGCGGCGTGACCTTCTCCAATGTAATTACCGTGTTGCAGCGGGGCCATTGTGAAATGGGCTCGGACGGATAGTCCAGCGAGTTTAGTTAGTTTAGTCAGTCGCTTAAATTATTGTCTAGGAAATTTAGGAATAATAACGACAGAAATTTTTCCGTCGGGATCAAATTATAAAATGATAAGTAATTTGATCTGACGATTGTAATAACTATTGAACTAAAAAAAAAAATAATATTTTAAAAGGACCGACATATTTTGCGCCAGTGCCACGGCCCCTTGGCCCCTTAGGGCCAGCCGCCACTGGCTGGGTTCGGTAATTGCATCTGCGAGCAAACAGAACAAATTTTGACGGACGTCACGTGATCACTTACCCTTTTTCGTGTCAAGATGACCAGAAATTTTTGAAAAGTCTGAACGAGCCTTTTATCCTTGCGTTCGGTATTTTGCTCAAAGAGCAGAGCGTGCTGAGCGGAGCCGTAATCAAGTGACCAGCGAGCGAAAAGAGCAGTTGAACGCAAATGAGCGAGTGCAAACGAACGCAAATGAGCCTGCACCGAGTACACTTTTCAAATAAACGAACGGTAAATTCAAGCTCGAAGAACTCAGATCAAAATACCGAACGCACGGTATGGTTATTCAACAAATATATTTTTTTTTTTTTTGTAGATCTCAAAATCTTGCGAAGATGGTGTCTTTTGTTTAGCTTCCAGGCTTAAGCCTAGTACTCATAACTGCGAAATTCGCATTTTTTTGACATAGCGTTGACAATTTGACGTTTTATGCGTGTATCAAACGTCAAATTGTCGAAGGAATGCCAAAAAAATGCGAATTTCGCAGTTATGAGTACTAGGCTTTATATGGACTTTTCCGCTTATAGCCTAGTACTCATAACTGCGAAATTCGCATTTTTTTGACATAGCGTTGACAATTTGACGTTTTATGCGTGTATCAAACGTCAAATTGTCGAAGGAATGCCAAAAAAATGCGAATTTCGCAGTTATGAGTACTAGGCTTTATATGGACTTTTCCGCTTATAGCCTAGTACTCATAACTGCGAAATTCGCATTTTTTTGACATTGCGTCGACAATTTGATGTTTCATGTGTGAATCAAACGTCATATTGTCGAAGCAATGTCAAAAAATGCAAATTTCGCAGTTATGAGTACTAGGCTTATCGCTTCCATAATGGGCTCTTTCACTAAAATTTAAATACGTAATTTAGGTATAAAATCCCAAAGGAGGGACTATTTTAGGCACATATACCAAAAAAAAATGTTCTACAAGGTTAAATAAGTTTTTTACAGGCATTTTAAACTACCAAAATTTGAATTATTTAAAAACGCGCCGATTTGCTGACGTCGCATAAATATTTTTCATTTCGCTTGTTGTTGGAAAGAGCTGTCCGCCTCTGCTGTATTTATCCTGTAGTAAATGCAGGTAAAGGTTCGAATGCGCTGTTGTCGGTGGTGACTAAATGTAGTGCAACGTAAAATAAATAAATAAAACTAAACATAGAAAATTATATTAAATTGTGTTTAAGCATAATTTCAATAAAAATGTTATAAAATCTTGAATCCATAACTAATTAATTTAACTACTTTCCATGATATTTTGGGAACATTTCAGAATTAAATCTATTACAAATTTTCAATGTTGACAATTAGTGGCAACACGGTCAAATAGCGAGCTGCGACGTCATAGAAATAAATTCTGGGTTTTTATTTGGAGGTATTTCTTTTTTTTCTGTTTTCTCAAGAAGGACTATGAATTTTTCAAAAGTAAAAATACAGAAAATTCTGTTTTTAGTTGCTTTATCCAAATATGCCAATTTCAAAAATTAGTGAAAGAGCCCATTCGTCCTTGGTGAGTTCGGCTTGACAACACTTTTGACTCCTTTGACACTTATCACTGCAGAATCGTTCGGGCCAGGCCATATAGGATTTTAAATGGACATCCATTCATTATAGGAAATTGAAAACAACGTATTTGATGTACCTAATAATAGTAATTAAATACAACGTTGTTTTCCATTTTTTTATGATGGATGTCCATTTAAATCCTACCTAAGCCTAGTACTCATAACTGCGAAATTCGCATTTTTTTGACATTGCGTTGAGAATTTGATGTTTTATGCGTGTATCAAACGTCAAATTGTCAACGCAATGTCAAAAAAATACGAATTTCGCAGTTATGAGTACTAGGCTTTATTCATCAAGAATCGTAAACTCTACAGGATTGCTCAATCTCATAAGACATACGTTCATAAAAATATCGAACATGGAGGAATGCGAGTGACGTCACACAGTCCCTGATCGGTTTGTTTTTTATTATGACAGTGTAATTTCCTTGCATTCTCAAACGTGAAAATTTGTTATTTTGAGTTTATTTCCTGTTAAACTGTATTTTTCAAATTTAGCAGACTTCAAAAGTTTGTGTGCTTGAGTCGTTAGCTAATTGCGAAGACGAGTTTGTTTGTTCTCTGCTTATCCGCAAGGTAATTTCAAAATACCCACACCCACATAAATATTATATTAAAACTAGCTAATGACCCGCTGCGTTGGCAGCATGTAAATACATTTTGAAATAATACACTTCTTTTCAAATTTTGTTGTTGATTTTCTATTTAATTTTTTTTTTTTAATCCGATATCATAGTCGCTTGCCAGTGAGTTCAGTGACGCATTTTAAGCACTCCAGAGCTGCTCTAGAGCGCCCTGGGCTGTTTATAGGCGTTCCAGTGTATCAGAGTTTTACGCAACCGAACTTTTTTTTTTCGGGATAAAAAATAGCCTATATCACTCTCCTCTATAGCCGATTCGATTGACCGGATTAGATCGATCTGGTTCAATTTAAGTGAACCACACTGTGTTCGATTCAAGCTGGATCAGTGCACCCTCATCAACAAAAAAATGATCTAGATCAGAAGAAGTTCACTTAAATTGAACCCAAATCGATCTAATCTGGTTCAATCGAATTCACCTTATATAGAGATACGTGGTATTAATTCAAGATCGGTCCAGCCATTCTTGAATTCAAAAAATAATAAAGTTACGTCGGTTGAATGCAAGCCTAAATAAATGAAATATGGCAACGTTGTTTCATGCTGTCAAAAAAAGTTGGGTTATGTTGCTATGTAATGTGAATGAGTTTGTTTACAATTAAATTAATAATTAATTCAAAATTAATTTCTTTTTCCGAGATGCGTAACCTATCCACAAACCTTCCTTGGGATGGCCATAACAACCTACCAAAGTTTCATCGTAATCGGATAAGTGGTTTTGGAGCGCATATCCGGATACCCCGTGAACTTTGATTTTTATATACATATACAGGGTGTTCCGAAATTAATGCACCAAATTGTTATGGCATATTCCATGTCGAAAATAAACCCCAGTTACCTATATAAACATATGTCCGGAAACGCTTGCTTTCCGAGATACCGGGTGTTGAAATTCTAAGAAAAAAACTATGTTTTTATCATAAGTTTCAAACCACTCTAGATATTTCACAGAAATTTTGTACACTGCTTTCAAGCAGTAGACATATTTTGACATGAAAATATATTTTTTTAAAATTACCAGTGGCGTCCTACGTCTGATTTGTAAGAAATATTTTCTAAGAAAAAAATGGTGCGTCACTGCTTTTTTCTAAAATAAAAATCATTTTTGAAATCCTCATTCAATTTGGAACAAATTTGATCTCTCCACTTTTTTCCGAAAGATGCACCGTTTTAAAGTAAAAAAATAAAAAACCATTTTGATTCATGGCGAAATCACCAAAATTATAATAAAAATGTTAAACATTAAACACCTAAAGTTTCAAATTAGTTTTGTGACGTCATTGGTATTTTTTTTTTTAATATTTCACATCAGAAAATGTCTTTTGCTGCTTGAAAGCAGTGTGCAAAATTTCAAAGTGGTATGAATTATGATAAAAAAATAGTTTTTTTCTTCAACACCCTGTATCTCGGAAAGGAAGCGTTTCCGGACATATGTTTATATAGGTAGCTAGGGCTTATTTTCAACGTAGAATATGTCATAAAGATTTGGTGCATTAATTTCGGAACACCCTGTATACATGTGCATACATTTTTTTTACCTTTTTTTAGGGGCAACGGCAACAAGAAGCAAGAAGGTACATTTATAAAATGGATATGCCTGCAATGAGATGTACGTGCTGTGGTGCACGTGACGTAATAAGAGGTTGGGCACAAAATGGCGGCGGGACCTGTATTGTCGCCACGGTATGTAAAGGTTTATTTAGTCATTGTACCCGGAGCTATTCCCGAGCTGCTCCTAGGTGTGAAAGTAATACAACTAGTGTGAATCGGCCTTACGTTTTGACACGTCACCCCTTTCCAATAGTTGTATTCCTTTCACACCTAGGAGAAGCTCCGGAACAGCTCCGGGGCTTCACGCGCTTATTCCTTTCGAAAAGTGTTTGTTGCACCACGCATAGGTTCCTTGCAAATCGGGGACGACTAAGCACCGAAGCGAGTAGCTCGAGTGCTTCAAGCTCTTGAAAGGAATACAACAACTATTTTGCGCATTGCGGCCCGCATTCCTCGTTTTGACGTTTTGTTTGACCTTATCGACCCTTCCCTTTCTACACCATTTTTTTCATATCCTATTCCTTTCTATTTTTATTCGTACATTCCGTACAGTGGGCTGTGGACGGCGTTTGTCGGCTGTGTTGAAGTGATTTGTAGTGCATTTGCGTTTGTGCAGGTTAGTAGACAAAATGGACGCCATTGCAGAATTATAATGCGCAATTTACTCATTTGTCGCCGAAATTTCGGTGTTTTAATGGTAAAATGCCAAAATTTCCTAGTGAAATCCTAATATTTGAAGCCGAAGCCGCTACATCATAAACTACTGCCTAATGAACTCGATTGCACTACAGAAAGTCCAGTTTTTATTGATTTCAATATGTCTGCTTTTAACATAAAACCTTCTAGTGGATGGATACATTCCGACAAATTAATTGCCAGACAAGGGGCCACCTATGCAGTCCGGGTAGGTAAGAAAGACTTTTTCTATTCAATTTTAACTTGTAGAAGTCAAGTTCTTGCATCACAGATTGAAATGTGCTTTATTTCATATTTGCCACACCCATTGTAAAAATTCCTATGGCTATTTTAATTTTGCACTTTGATGGTACTTAACTGGTAACTAATTTTAGTTTTTGTTGGGAATCTTGTTAAATATCTTTTAATCAATAAGTACTTTTGATGTTGGGCTAGTCAAATGGCTTTTTGGATGTGTAATGGGTATTTATATTCCAAATAATGTATCTATTTAATGTTCTCATGACTCATGAGCAATTTTATTCTGGAATACTGTAGAAAATGGTGGCCATCAAATGTAATGCGACATTTTTTATATGAGAACTAATCCAAACAGATTTTTAAGTTGATTTTGGTCATCAAAGATTGATTTGTAGTTTTCGTTCCAACTTGGGTACATAATTTATCAATGCCCTACCCGGGGCCCTGCCCAACAAAGAAGTAGTATTCTTTCAAGCAGGGTTGCCAGATGTTCCAGTTGATATTAAAAGAGACTGCAGCACAGTGAAGCTGGGTTTATACAGGAAATAAAATAAAATTAAGAGATTGCCTTATGGGAGACCACAGTGGCGTTGCGTTCTTTCCTTATTTCCTATTAACTATTAATTTATTTTATTTTCTGCATAAACCAAGTTTTACACATGTGTTTTATAGAAACAAACCTATGTTCACCACAGTGACTTATTTTTTCACATAATATTTCAATACTAGACTGTTTGGGTTAATAATTGTTATCTAGCAACCCTGCCTATCCTACCAGCACTGCCTTTTTAGGTCTGTTCGCGCAGAAATCACAAACTAGTCGGAATGAATATCATTGGTTGAAACTAGTTTTCTGACTGTTTCCAATCAATGACATCCGCTCTGGCTGGTTTGTGATTTCTGTGCAAACAGACCTATTGATGGGGGATACTTTCAATTCAAATTATGGATCCATTGATTTCTTATCCTTATTTCACACTGCATTTACATGGGAAAGTCATAGGTAAAGTATGGTAGCGAGGAGAGTGACAGTGATACTAAAATGGGTTTAATTTTTCTTGAAATAGCAGTTCACTCGAGTACTTGTATTGGCTAACTTCACATTTTATGAATTCTCTGACTTCATTTCTATAATTTTGTCATAGGGCTCCTCTAACAAGCAGTTCAAGTCAATTTTGAGGCAGATTATTAGTTTGTATTTTCTCTCAATTGGTTTGTAAAACTCATTCAAATTATCATATTCCCTAGTGTCCCAAGGATGAAATTTAAATGTGTTTATTTTTAAATGGTTTTTATAAATACAATGATAATGGGTTTTCTTTTCAGTATGTGGGTTGCCTGGAGATAAGGGTATCCATGAAAGCATTGGATTTCAAAACAAGGTCAAATGTAGCCAAGTAGGTATTTTCTTTCAATATTCCATTTACAACTTTTACATAAGATAATGTGCGTGTTAAATAATATGTTTGGTTATTTCCAGAGAATGTATAAACCGGGTCTGCGAAGCTGCAGGACTGAAAACTGTAGACAAAAAGCGAAAAGTTGACAGAAAAGTACAAAAGGCAATTGCTGATACACCAAATATGGCTTACGCTGGCACAAACGTTACACTGAAAGTTTCCAGCGTTAACCTATCACTTACTTCACTGGATAATAGTCAAGTTATAGCAAATCATGAGATGCCAAAAATTTCATTTGCGTCTGGAGGCGATACTGTAGGTTTAACTTCAATTTCCCTTGAAAGCTGCAATCTATATTTTCAATTAATTTACAGGAAACTTTAGATTTTGTTGGGTATATTGCTAAAGATGTAAATGAACTTCGAGCTTGCTATGTGCTAGAGTGTGGGGGAGGTCTAGCTAAAGATGTTATTGCTACCATTGGTCAAGCATTTGAGTTGAGATTTCAACAGTTTTCAAAACCCAATGTGTATGTATTTATATTTTTTAATTTTTTTATTTTTAGATTTTTTCAAAATAGAAACTCAATAGCTAATAGTTTTTTGTTTTGTTTAGATTTGCTGCTACTGCAGGCTTATCTTCGATTCAAGCAGGTGGTGATGCAGACAAGGACTATTATAATGATCTTCCAGGAAAAGTGCCTCCCGATGTAGCTGGTCCCCCTCCTGTTCCGCCACTGCCTGCATCAGTGCCACCATTCACCACCTTGCCTCCCGTAACGCCAAATCTCATAGATTTCAATTGTGATATTGCTTTGGGTGGTCCCCATCATGACTATGTCAACGACAGTGTGGTTGCCACTAGAGAAAGGGATGTTTTTGATATGCGTAAGTAGTTTTACCTTGAAACATCTAATTCAATTTAAATTACAATAACTTTTTAATTGTTACAGAGCCTTTCAATCAGCACTCGGGTTCAATAAGGACTGATGCAGATTATCTAGAACAGCTTCGGAAGGAAATTTGGTTTCATGGGCCCATTAGTAGGGCGGAAGCTGAAAGACTGCTCCAACGTGATGGGGATTTCCTAGTTCGAGAGTCCACTAACACAGTGGGCCAATATGTTCTATCTGGAATGCAGGACAATAATAAGAAACATCTTCTATTGATTGATCCTGAAGGCGTAGTAAGTAGAATATTTTTTTAATTAAGGTTAGACTGCTTCTGATTTATGTGATTATATATTGAACAGCATTAAACAAAATTGGAATAGAAAATAATATATTATTGCTTCAGAAGCATGTTGGTTGTTGAGGGGAGTTTGGCCGATGCAATATTCTCTCTTCTAGCTTGATTTAATAACCCTACAATCATAATTGTGTTGATACAGTATTTCTGCTTTGTCTGTGTCTCAACTATATGCATAGACTTCATAACACTTGAGACAATCAATTCTATAAACTAAACTGGACTTTATCACCTTATGTCACAGCTTACTCTTATGTCACAGCGTCTTTTGTTTTAGTAAATAAATCATTGACAGACTTGATTATAATTGACCATCTTAAAACTTTCATCGATCTTTGAAACTTTACTTATCCGTTTAATGTTGTGAGTGGCCCTACTCAGCCCAAAAAAACCTGAAGTTATGAACTTTTTGATTAGCCAACCAAATGTTTTAAATAGAAGGTTTTTTTTTTAACTTTTATTCAATATTTTCTACAATGTTGTTAACTGTTTATAGTCCTGACCAAGCCTTCAACCATTAAAGGCAAACGTTGGCAGGTATTTAATCGGCATTTATTTTTCCTTATCCGACTACTTCTTTGTTAGGTAATGTTCTTGATGTTTGCTAGCATATACTGTTTTATTTGTATTTATTGTTGATTTATCTGCACATAGTGATTTATTAGAGGTTATGGACAATAGGTCCTAGCACTGAATAGGCCAACCAACCACAACTGATATTTTTCACTATAATTTTTATTCGCTACAGCATAATGTTGATCTGTATAATATGTATGGAATAAATCGTATGCAACTCCTCGTATTCCCATTTTCCACATTTTGTCGAACAACAAGTTGAAATCAACAGTGTCGAATGACTTTTTTGAATCCACATATATCACAAGTAACATAATATTTATTCTTGTCCAGTTCAGTTGTCACAGATTCCAGGAAATCCATGGTTGCTCCGAACGCACCACTTGTTTTCTGAAACCCATGTGGATATTGATCAAGATTAAATTTGGTTTCAATAAATCTGAACAGTCTGATTTTTATTATTTTATTCCAAAATGTATACAATGCAGTATTAAGTACTGAGATGGGTCGGTATTTGTTGAGGTCATTATGAGGTCCATTTTCATATGCAGGTTTGATACATTCTGAAATTTTATTTGAAAAATTGTGTGTAAAATTATCGTTATGCCATTATTTGTTTTTTTTTTTACAGTTCCTTACAGTCCTTTCATTGTGACACTATTCAGGAAGGGTCGGACACATGACATTGAAAATTATAGTTGTATATGCATTCAATCTGCATGCTTATTGGCAGGGGGTAGCTGAACAGTTGTGGTTATGTCAAGGTCTGATTTCCTGATGTTTGTGCTTCTTCGCCAATTCCGTTATCAATTATGCCAGTCTAAGATGAAGCCATGTCATCTGGCCAAGGGGGGCTCATGCCCTATTTACAGAGATGTCTATCCCAAAAAGAGACACAGTAGCTTCTAGCTTCTTTGTCTAGAATCGGCTCTCCTCCCAAGTCTTCATAACTAAATGAGAAGGAAAAACAACATTAGACTTATGCATCAATAAGGAGTTACAAATGAGCCAAAATCATACATGGTATCCTTGTGTATTCAGCAAATAAAAACTCAACCAATTGTATTTGCCAAACAGAAACATTTGGCACTAATTGAATTAATTGAGCCGATACTTGGTGAAAATTGAATTAATTGAGCCGATACTTGGTGAAAATTGAATTTAAAATCCACGGTTGGAAGAAATAACAATTACAATATAATAATTTTTACCTCATTTTCACTAAATTTATTGACATGTCTGATGAAGCTACAGTGTAGTGAAACATTGTCAATAAATTTAGTAAAAATTATTATCATTTATCACTTTTTCCACCCATGGATTTTACAATCGGCAGACAGAAAAGATAAATCACCGGACAAGAAGCAGTACAAAAATACAGAAACTGCAGAAAAGATATGCTCCTTGTAATGGAGCTGAGCTAGTCATGTCGCCCGGAAGGGTTAGAGAAAAACAGTTGAAATGGTGGTACACAACATAAAACCCAGAGCTGACCTAATTTGGTACCTAGCTTGTAGAACTAAATGAAAATTCATGTTGGGAGGCCTATTGTCACATCTAGAAAAAGCTTTGGATGAATAATAAATTATTCTATTTTCTTCCTCATTTAAAATTGGTGTTATCATATTATCATTTCGTTTTTGTTGTAAATTAGGATTTCTGACATTAAAAAGTAATTTATTTAATAATTTAGGAGGGTAAGAATTTTCTAAAAGCATTGTATATAGTTTTTTTAAATTTTTGTCTTTGAAAGTTGGATGGCTTATTTTAATTATGCGATTTTTAAGACCTAAAATTAAATTGATTTTCATTTTTTCTGTATTGCTTGAATAATAGTTCATGTATCTTCCTGAATGGGTTGGTTTCATATTCCAATCAAGAATTAATTGATTGGTACTAGTACATATCACTTTTGTATCTAGGAACGGAACACTTTGATCTTCTGATTCTTTTTCAATTGTAAATTGTATATTATTATTATATTGATTAAAACATAATAGAGTATCTTCTATTTTATCATAAGGAATTGCTGTTATAAGATCATCTACATATTTTTTGAGAAATACAAGTCTACCTGGCATTTTTTTGTTACATTCATCCAATAAGTCATCCATTATATTGAGATAAAATAGGAGAGGTCTTTCCTCCCATTGGTGCACCTAATATTTGTTTATAATATATATCACCAAACTTACAATAATTACTATCAAAAAGAAATTTAATTATATCTATAAACATAACTTGTGAAATTTTAGTAAAGTTTTTTTTATTGTTGTCCATTTTTTTTTAATACTTTTCTTAACTAGTTCAAAAGGAATATTACTAAAAAGTGAAACAACATCAAGACTAATGAGAACATGATTGGGAGGAAGTTGGTAACCATTTATAAATTCCACAAAATCAAAAGTATCTTTAACATAATATGGATTGTCTTTATTATATGATCTTGTTAATATATCTGTTATCAAAACAGACAGTTTACTATTCGGAGCATTGATAGAAGAAATTTAGGTGTTGTATGATTATAAATTGTGAGGTTTTTTGCTTCAAATATGTTAATGTACTTTTTTTGTTTAAGTTGAGAAACTAATTTATTTGCCTTTTGCTGAAAAGTTGATGTGGGGTCTCTTCTTAATTGCTGATAATATGAATTGTCATTTAAAATATCGTTACATTTTTGGATATAGTCTTGTTTTTTCCAAATAACTGTTACATTTCCTTTATCTGCTTTAGTGAAAATAATGTCTGGATTATCTTTAATACATTTTTTTGTTTTGTTATATAGAAAGTCTAAATATGAAAAATTTGTTGGTTTATGTAAAAAATTGGTTATAATATTAGTTATTTGTGCTCTGTAATTATTACGTTTATTTTCATTCACATTATGTTACATATTTTCAATGTCTGCTAATAAATTTTTGATAGAAATTTCTTTTTTATTGGGAGAAATGCTGGAATTAAAACCAAGACCTAAAAATTTTTTTATATCTTCAGGAATATTTTGACCCGAAAAATCTTTTATCCAATTTTCATTTATGTTTATTTTATCATTCTTTTTAGCCCAACTACATTTGCCAAAATAACCCACTATAGTAAAATTTTTGAATTATATATATATACCTTCTTATTTATAACACATCTGAGCAAGAATACAAATTTCGGTTTTTTTCTTTTTGTAGAATCCTTTATTTATTGAATTAACTATGTACATATTTTTTCATTCATTACTGTACATACTTTTGTATTGTTACAGGTCAGGACTAAGGATCGAATGTTCAATAGTGTAAGCCATTTGATCCAGTTCCATTTCGACAATGCCTTACCAATAATATCAGCAGAGAGTGCGCTGGTTCTCAGGCACAAGGTTTCCAGATCATCATAGAACGGTGAATATACATTATTTTTAATTTTAAGTAGGGCTTGAAACTATGTTTATGGCAATTTAGGCTAGGATTACCCAACTTCTTAATTTCTAATGCTTTGCTCCTGACTTTCAAGTCATAAGGAGTTAAGATGTTCTATTCCAAATTCTTATTTCTTATACTTTTCAATTCAATTTTAAAGACGAACCTTAGTGCTAGGACCACTTTTATGTGCAGGCGCAACCTTTGCACTGGTCTCCAACCATTTTTTTCTTCTAAATCTGAGTCTTTGTAAACCCCATGTTTTAAAGACAATAAGTTCAAATATGTTCTAGTCTGAAATACCTGATTGTTTAATTAATGATGCGTAGTTAAAACTCTTTCATGTCAAATTCCCAAATGGCATGAATACCAATACTGAGAAAAATATTAAACAACATAATTGTATAAGTATATCTATTTTAAATAAACTTGGTGATGTTGGAACAATCCTAATGACGACTAGATTACAGATAAAACATGAGTTTCTGGACCCATGAAATACGAGTCATTCCTGAAACGTCTTCTCTTACCTGGGTAATTTTAAATTGCGCAAATTTTTGTTTCGGGTATTAATCAACGTGAAGTCGCCGACTCAACTGTCCTTGTCAGTCCTTTACGCTATTTGGACCTAAAGTTCAATATGGCTTGAACAGGGAGGTTGAGCCTCTGTCCTTTCGATGAGTTGAAATAATGACGCAAGGCGAGAAGGACTTGCTAGGGCATGTTAGTTCCATAACTTGGTATGCCAGTTCCTAAACAGGGACTGTTGTGTCCTTGCCTCACTGTTGGTAACTACCTGGAAACAAACTTGTTGCAAGAATCGAGAAGTTGGGTAATCCAGGTCCTAATGGAAAATATGTATATGTGTTAAAGTTAAAGTCTGAACTTCTTAAATCTCAACAATAATTTATTGTGTTTTAAAATTGGTTTTGGCGTAACTCAATCTATTTTATCCAAGGATAGATAGGAATAGTTTCTATTTATAGAGCTGCAACAATAAACCGTAAAGATATCTATGATATGAGTAAGTATAAGTGATTAATACCAATCAGCAAAAATTGCTGCTCGAATCGCCAGCCATCAAACAGGTGACATACTTAGAACTTTGCTAAGAGGCTACCTCAGAAATAGAAAAAGATACGTAGTTTCCTTTCTTTGCGCTTTCCATCTTCAGAAAACGATGTTCGTGTGTGACCACAAAACCGATACAGTTAGAGGCGTGTCTGTAAACCGTAGCGTGATCTATGATTTTTCGAGAGTCTTGGGTGATATAGAACATAATAATTATAATAATGCTTCAAAAGACATTGGTTGATGGTGAAAGTTTAATTGATATTTAGAAATGTTTGTTGATCTCAAACTACCTTTAATACTTTCAAGGTAGAACCAGTTACCAATGCGAGGTTCCATTTTGATTTATGAAAATACAAGAAAATACTTTCAATCAAATACTACTAAAGAAACTTAATTATTTTCACCTGTCTATACCGTCACCCATACAGGAGGGTTACAAATTATAAAAAAATGCTTTTATTTTAATCTTGAACAAACCAAGGCTTTTTATATTGATATAATTAGCTAAATTATCAAATAGTCTTAAGCTACGTCCACACCGAAAGCAACATATAGGAACATTGGGTTTATGTTGCTTGTTCTTGGAACTTTTTCTGCATGTTTCCAAAAGTTTATTGTTTAAGGTTGCAGCAAGAAAAGTTTCTATAAGTTGCTTGTTTCCATATTAAGCGACACAGATCGAAGGAAATATAGAAACATTGGTAAACATTGCTTGTTTCTCAACCCTATTTTAATCAGGTTGTACACGTTATTGCTAGTTCCCAAAACTCAAAACTCAGCTGTTGTGTGTGTAAATCGTCGTCATACCACGTTGTTTCGAAACTATGAACACACACTGCTGGTGTAGACACACCGTTTACTGTTGCAGCAACACAACAATACATTCATAAAAATAAGTAACCATTGTGTGGACGAGATGGTTAGGGAATTTGTGCTGTTGTTTCTGTTCCCATTAACAGGTTGCGGCAACCAGCAACATAATATTCCTCTGTGTTTCTTTGGTGTGGACATAGTTTTATACACATGTAAATCAGCCACAGAAAAGTTTATGTTCGTGGTATTTTGTTTATTCCGTGCGCTGGCGAAGGTTTCTATGCCAAGATATTTTATTTTGTTGTATAGGTTATATATCGTCCCCCTTATCACCTATAAGTGTATCTAACAAAAATGCATAATTCAGATACGCCTCTACGTGATAAAGGGGACGATATATTTCAGACTTAAAATAGAGTTTTAAGTCACAATCAATTACAATCACAATTATTAAAATACTATATCACTTAATGGGTATATCACATATGCAGAGCTGGGCAGCGCTTGAGTGCTTTGTGCTTGTAAAAGTGCTTGAAGCACTTTGAGGGCTTGAAAGCCCTGTGCTTCAAGCCCTTTTACATATTTCTAATTGGGGCTTGCAAAGTCAATTACTTCAGAAAAGTGCTTGGTAATTTGTAATTGAAAAAAAGTAATTCAAGCCCTTTCAATAAGCTTCAATTACTTTTAGAGGGCTTGAAGCACTTTTGGAAGCTTAAAGCACTTCCAAAGGGCTTGAAGCACTTTAAAAAGGCTTGAACCACTTTGAAAGGACTTGAAGCACTCTAAAAGGGCTTGAAGCACTCTAAAAGGGCTTGAAGCACGTTGAAAGGGCTTGAAGCACTTTAAAAGGGCTTGAAGCACTCTAAAAGAAATTTGAATTGACCATAATTTAACCTATTCCCCACCTAAAAGTTTTGAATCGATGAGTTTTGTTGCTTAATTCTGATATCTATTCCGTGTCGGAATGCTTACCGCATACCACCGAATTTTCTGATTGATATTTATCTAGAATCTAGATTTTCGTTTATCGATATTTCTATTCTCAATAGGTACATAGGTTATTCTACCTATTCTCAATAGGTACATAGATTAGAAATATCGATATTCGTCAAATGGCATCGATATTTTAAATTCATGTTTCGATACTAGTATCGATATGCTAATTTTTTTGTGACGCCATCTGTTAATATCAAAGAAAATGACAAATAATACAATTTTAGTAATTTCCTGAAATTAGCCTGAGTTGTTGTGATGTGTAAGGATAGGACACCATGTCAAAAAAAAAATTACCCACACTTACAATTATTTTGGTTACCAATTCCATTCACAATTATTGTAACTGTAATTTGCAAAAAAATACAAAATATAAAGATTCTCTAGTCAAATGAACTGAGTAAATTGAAAGTAAGCTTTTGTATTTTTATTGCTCACTAGCGTTGTTAGGAGTACTAAGATTTCAGGGCATATTCAAAGGGCTTGAAGCAAATTTAAAAAGCTGCATGCACATTTAAAGAGCTTTAAGCAAATTCAAAGAGCTTCAAGCACATTTGAAGAGCTTCAAGCACATTTAAAGAGCTTCAAGCACATTTAAAGAGCTTCAAGCACATTTAATGAGCTTCAGAGCTCTTTTTGAGGCACCCCAAGCACTTTTGATGTGCCTCAAGCACTTTATAAATTACTTTGGGGGCTTTGTGCTTGCCAAGCCAAATTGAAAGCACTTTGAGAAAGGGCTTAGGGCTTAGTGCTTCAAGCCCTTTCACTGAGGGCTTTGCTCAGCTCTGCACATATGTATAAAATTTTTTAAATATTCTTTATAAAAGGACAGTACTAAGTACCTATGGACGGTTAAGACTATTTAAAACTAGTTGAAAATCCAAATCTGTGACTTGATATTGCAAAAATTGTTCTATTGAATAAAAGTACTCACTTAACAAGAATTGCTTGATTTTATTTTTAAATGATGAACCGAATCAATTAAATTGTAAACCTTTGCAATCTAGCACAACTATGGAGGATATTTCCTCCCCAGTTTTCTCCAAATCGTGTTTGTTATATATGGTATGTCTATTCTTTGTATAGATGGGAATGTATCAATATTTTCATTTGGATCACTGCTCATTTTGAGGGAGATTTCGTAATATGAGGATCCGCTTCTTATTTATCTATTCACGGACATAGTCCAATAATAGGATCATTACAATGATACTGAAATCTTAAGTAGGTACATACTAAGTGAACAATATCCTAAAACTTAAATATATACAAGTGTATAAAAGATAATGTTGAGTCCATTAACAAGAAATCTACCAAGTGACCTGACACAAAAGCAAACTTAAATATATACAAGTGTATTAACGATAATGTTGAGTCCATTGACGAGAAATCCACTAACAGATTCATATAATATACATTTTTTTATTTTAATTTATTTCAACTTGACATTAATCGTATTTTTTGTTTCAAATTTTTATTTCGAAAAATAAGAAAGTTATGGCTTGTAACGCTGATTGTGGGACACCCTGTATACAAGTTTTTATTCTAAGTTACCTTGGGGATGGAAGTAATCTTTGCTCGTGAAGTGTTTGGAACAAACACGCGTATATGTTTTGATGGGCGTGTTTGAACCTAAAAGTTTTTCCCAAGCTTTCCTTATATCCATTGTTTCTTCCACTCCAGCATCATTTAGAACTTTCACATAAATACTAGTGCTTTTCTGTGGGAATTTATGGAAATGTCGCGATTTATCAGCTCTATCACCTTTTCTTGAGCAGCACCCAGAAACATAACAAAAGTTATAATTTTTACATTGTTATGAAATTAAAAAAAAAAAATCGGAACGTCCAAAGTGTCCTAGGGTCCAAGAAAATGTCAAGAATTGACTATAAATTCGGCAGTAAAAGTAGATAATATTCTTAAGACCATATGGTATACAATATAATATAGTACTATGTTTACAATGCATACAATACGATCTACACCATCCTCTTAATACTTTCATTATGCCTGGAAAGTGAGCTGGCACAAAAGCAATCAAGGGGCTCATCATCATTAAAAACTGTGTACAAGTTTTTATTCTAAGTCACCTTGGGGATGGAAGTAATCTCTGCTCTTGAAGTGTTTGGAACAAACACGCGTATATGTTTTGATGGGCGTGTTTGAGCTCAAAACTTTTTCCCAAGCTTTCCTTATATCCATTGTTTCTTCCACTCCAGCATCATTCGAAACTTTCACAAAAATAGTACTGTTTTTTTTTGGAAATTTATGGAAATGTAGCGATTTATCAGTTCTGTCACCTTTTCTTGACCAGCACCCAGAAACATAACAAAAGTTATAATTTTTACATTGTTATGAAATTAAAAAAAAAATCGGAACGTCCAAAGCGTCCTAGGGTCCAAGAAAATGTCAAGAATTGACTATAAATTCGGCCGTAAAAGTAGATAATATTCTTAAGACCATATGGTATACAATATAATATAGTACTATGTTTACAATACATACAATACGATCTACACCATCCTCTTACTAGTTTCATTATGCCTGGAAAGTGACCTGGTACAAAAGCAATCAAGGCGCTCATCATTATTATAAACTGTGTACAATTTTTTATTCTAGGTTGCCTTAGGGATGGAAGTAATCTTTGCTGGTAAAGTGTTTCGAACAAACACGCGTATATGTTTTGATGGGCGTGTTTGAAAACTTAAAACTTTTTCCCAAGCTTTCCTTATTTTAATTGTTTCTTCCACTCCATCATCATTTAGAACTTCCACATAAATACTAGTGCTTTTTTTGGGAATTTATGGAAATGTAGCGATTTATCAGCTCTATCACCTTTTCTTGAGCAGCACCCAGAAACATAACAAAAGTTATAATTTTTACATTGTTATGAAATTTAAAAAAAAAATCGGAACGTCCAAAGCGTCCTAGGGTCCAAGAAAATGTCAAGAATTGACTATAAATTCGGCCGTAAAAGTAGATAATATTCTTAAGACCATATGGTATACAATATAATATAGTACTATGTTTACAATGCATACAATACGATCTACACCATCCTCTTAATACTTTCATTATGCCTGGAAAGTGAGCTGGCACAAAAGCAATCAAGGGGCTCATCATCATTAAAAACTGTGTACAAGTTTTTATTCTAAGTCACCCTGGGGATGGAAGTAATCTCTGCTCTTGAAGTGTTTGGAACAAACACGCGTATATGTTTTGATGGGCGTGTTTGAGCTCAAAACCTTTTCCCAAGCTTTCCTTATATCCATTGTTTCTTCCACTCCAGCATCATTCGAAACTTTCACAAAAATAGTACTGTTTTTTTTTGGAAATTTATGGAAATGTAGCGATTTATCAGTTCTGTCACCTTTTCTTGACCAGCACCCAGAAACATAACAAAAGTTATAATTTTTACATTGTTATGAAATTAAAAAAAAATCGGAACGTCCAAAGCGTCCTAGGGTCCAAGAAAATCTCAAGGATTGACTATAAATTCAGCCGTAAAAGTAGATAATATTCTTAAGCCCATATGGTATACTATATAATATAGTACTATGTTTACAATACATACAATACCATCTACACCATCCTCTTACTAGTTTCATTATGCCTGGAAAGTGACCTGGCACAAAAGCAATCAAGGCGCTCATCATTATTATAAACTGTGTACAATTTTTTTTTCTAAGTTACCTTAGGGATGGAAGTAATCTTTGCTGGTAAAGTGTATCGAACAAACACGCGTATATGTTTTGATGGGCGTGTTTGAGCTCAAAACTTTTTCCCAAGCTTTCCTTATATCCATTGTTTCTTCCACTCCAGCATTCGAAACTTTCACAAAAATAGTACTGTTTTTTTTTGGAAATTTATGGAAATGTAGCGATTTATCAGTTCTGTCACCTTTTCTTGACCAGCACCCAGAAGCATAACAGAAGTTATAATTTTTACATTGTTATGAAATTAAAAAAAAATCGGAACGTCCAAAGCGTCCTAGGGTCCAAGAAAATCTCAAGGATTGACTATAAATTCGGCCGTAAAAGTAGATAATGTCCTTAAGCCCATATGGTATACAATATAATATAGTACTATGTTTACAATACATACAATACCATCTACACCATCCTCTTACTAGTTTCATTATGCCTGGAAAGTGACCTGGCACAAAAGCAATCAAGGCGCTCATCATTATTATAAACTGTGTACAATTTTTTATTCTAAGTTACCTTAGGGATGGAAGTAATCTTTGCTGGTGAAGTGTTTGGAACAAACACGCGTATATGTTTTGATGGGCGTGTTTGAACTTAAAACTTTTTCCCAAGCTTTCCTTATTTTAATTGTTTCTTCCACTCCATCATCATTTAGAACTTCCACATAAATACTAGTGCTTTTCTGTGGGAATTTATGGAAATGTAGCGATTTATCAGCTCTATCACCTTTTCTTGAGCAGCACCCAGAAACATAACAAAAGTTATAATTTTTACATTGTTATGAAATTTAAAAAAAAAATCGGAACGTCCAAAGCGTCCTAGGGTGCAAGAAAATGTCAAGAATTGACTATAAATTCGGCCGTAAAAGTAGATAATATTCTTAAGACCATATGGTATACAATATAATATAGTACTATGTTTACAATACATACAATACGATCTACACCATCCTCTTACTAGTTTCATTATGCCTGGAAAGTGACCTGGTACAAAAGCAATCAAGGCGCTCATCATTATTATAAACTGTGTACAATTTTTTATTCTAGGTTGCCTTAGGGATGGAAGTAATCTTTGCTGGTAAAGTGTTTGGAACAAACACGCGTATATGTTTTGATGGGCGTGTTTGAAAACTTAAAACTTTTTCCCAAGCTTTCCTTATTTTAATTGTTTCTTCCACTCCATCATCATTTAGAACTTCCACATAAATACTAGTGCTTTTTTTGGGAATTTATGGAAATGTAGCGATTTATCAGCTCTATCACCTTTTCTTGAGCAGCACCCAGAAACATAAACAAAAATTATAATTTTTACATTGTTATGAAATTTTAAAAAAAAATCGGAACGTCCAAAGCGTCCTAGGGTCCAAGAAAATGTCAAGAATTGACTATAAATTCGGCCGTAAAAGTAGATAATATTCTTAAGACCATATGGTATACAATATAATATAGTACTATGTTTACAATGCATACAATACGATCTACACCATCCTCTTAATACTTTCATTATGCCTGGAAAGTGAGCTGGCACAAAAGCAATCAAGGGGCTCATCATCATTAAAAACTGTGTACAAGTTTTTATTCTAAGTCACCTTGGGGATGGAAGTAATCTCTGCTCTTGAAGTGTTTGGAACAAACACGCGTATATGTTTTGATGGGCGTGTTTGAGCTCAAAACCTTTTCCCAAGCTTTCCTTATATCCATTGTTTCTTCCACTCCAGCATCATTCGAAACTTTCACAAAAATAGTACTGTTTTTTTTGGAAATTTATGGAAATGTAGCGATTTATCAGTTCTGTCACCTTTTCTTGACCAGCACCCAGAAACATAACAAAAGTTATAATTTTTACATTGTTATGAAATTAAAAAAAAAATCGGAACGTCCAAAGCGTCCTAGGGTCCAAGAAAATCTCAAGGATTGACTATAAATTCGGCCGTAAAAGTAGATAATATTCTTAAGACCATATGGTATACAATATAATATAGTACTATATTTACAATACATACAATACGATCTACACCATCCTCTTACTACTTTCATTATGCCTGGAAAGTGAGCTGGCACAAAAGCAATCAAGGGGCTCATCATCATTAAAAACTGTGTACAAGTTTTTATTCTAAGTCACCTTGGGGATGGAAGTAATCTCTGCTCTTGAAGTGTTTGGAACAAACACGCGTATATGTTTTGATGGGCGTGTTTGAGCTCAAAACTTTTTCCCAAGCTTTCCTTATATCCATTGTTTCTTCCACTCCAGCATCATTCGAAACTTTCACAAAAATAGTACTGTTTTTTTTTGGAAATTTATGGAAATGTAGCGATTTATCAGTTCTGTCACCTTTTCTTGACCAGCACCCAGAAACATAACAGAAGTTATAATTTTTACATTGTTATGAAATTAAAAAAAAATCGGAACGTCCAAAGCGTCCTAGGGTCCAAGAAAATCTCAAGGATTGACTATAAATTCGGCCGTAAAAGTAGATAATGTCCTTAAGCCCATATGGTATACAATATAATATAGTACTATGTTTACAATACATACAATACCATCTACACCATCCTCTTACTAGTTTCATTATGCCTGGAAAGTGACCTGGCACAAAAGTAATCAAGGCGCTCATCATTATTATAAACTGTGTACAATTTTTTTTTCTAAGTTACCTTAGGGATGGAAGTAATCTTTGCTGGTAAAGTGTTTCGAACAAACACGCGTATATGTTTTGATGGGCGTGTTTGAACTTAAAACTTTTTCCCAAGCTTTCCTTATTTTACTTGTTTCTTCCACTCCATCATCATTTAGAACTTCCACATAAATACTAGTGCTTTTTTTGGGAATTTATGGAAATGTAGCGATTTATCAGCTCTATCACCTTTTCTTGAGCAGCACCCAGAAACATAACAAAAGTTATAATTTTTACATTGTTATGAAATTTTAAAAAAAAATCGGAACGTCCAAAGCGTCCTAGGGTCCAAGAAAATGTCAAGAATTGACTATAAATTCGGCCGTAAAAGTAGATAATATTCTTAAGACCATATGGTATACAATATAATATAGTACTATGTTTACAATACATGCAATACGATCTACACCATCCTCTTACTACTTTCATTATGCCTGGAAAGTGAGCTGGCACAAAAGCAATCAAGGCGCTCATCATCATTAAAAACTGGATACGGATTCTCAATCGTTAAGTCGATACGTAACGTCCCGACTCCCTGTAGAAAGGCAATGGGAAGTCGAGGTCGATAGGTTGCGACTAGAGGTTGAGAATCGGTGGGCTGTGTACAAGTTTCTATTCTAAGTCACCTAGGGGATGGAAGTAATCTCTGCTCTTGAAGTGTTTGGAACAAACACGCGTATATGTTTTGATGGGCGTGTTTGAGCTCAAAACTTTTTCCCAAGCTTTCCTTATATCCATTGTTTCTTCTACTCCAGCATCATTCGAAACTTTCACAAAAATAGTACTGTTTTTTTTTTTGGAAATTTATGGAAATGTAGCGATTTATCAGTTCTGTCACCTTTTCTTGACCAGCACCCAGAAACATAACAAAAGTTATAATTTTTACATTGTTATGAAATTTTAAAAAAAAATCGGAACGTCCAAAGCGTCCTAGGGTCCAAGAAAATGTCAAGAATTGACTATAAAT